TAGTTTTCAGGATGAATTTCTCATAAAGAGAAAGCAACTGATGTTCATTATTCCAGTATCAGGCAGTGCTGAAGAGCATTTCCACTCTCAACATGCTTCACCCTGAACCCTCCAGGTGAAAGAAAAAGAAACGAGATAAGTCAAAGAAGCATAGGAATGTAATGGTACAGCCATACATGGCAAGACTCCTTTAATAAGCTCTACGATTATCTGTGGTGTACTAGACCAAGAGGGCTCAAAACAGTGGAAGATTCCCCCTCAGAATGAAAGGATCAGGATGAATGAGTAGAAGAGATTTCTTACTAGTGCCCAAAGACTGCTCCAGGCATCTTGACCACTGTGAGCTCTGGCTGGGCCACAGCAGGGCCCCTCTTTCACAAATCCAAAATGGAAACAATCATGCAGACCAGCCTTGCCCTTGAAGTGGTCAGTGGGAGCCTCTCTTAGGCTTGTATCTTCAATTTGAGGCACCATTGTGTTTTTATGATTACAGAGCAAGTAAACTTTTGAAAAACGATAGTCATGCTACATTAAAGGCATTGAAAGTTCCCCGACTTTCCACAAACTTAGGAGTATAAATTCCTGGTTAAGCAACCAAACTCCATATGTTAATTTCATATGGTTATCCAGAATACACAGTTTGTTCTGGTCATGTTCATGTCTGACAGCAGGCATTTACAGTTCAACTGTCAGAGAAGGTTTGACTTTGGAGGGAAGCAGGGTGTTACACCCAGCACTATCCATCCAATATATCAGTGTCAAACTCAACCTTTTTCGTCATCTCAGAAAGCCCTTGACAAGTTCTTTGTTCAGCCAGCAGTGGCTTGTTATGCTCCACCAAGGGCAATGAAGTGGGAATATTCTCTAATATGGTGTGCACCAATGTGGAGCTGACCGGATGCAAGCAGTGACAGAAGTTTGGATGTGTCTGTTTGGTGGGATATCATCAGTCCCTCCTCATGTGGGTTTGTCTGGACTCTGGTGTGAGGAATCAATGAGACTTTGGTAAAGGATTACAGGCTTCAGGAAACTTGGTAGATCTTTATCCAACAAGGAACACAGAGGACTGAAACTGTAGCCCCACACCGCTGATCAAGCTAACGGTGCGAGCCAGTTTGCTTTTGAGTGGGGACAGTATTTCACACTGAGAAGTTGTAGACCGGCACTAAGCAGGCTTAGGAGAGCACCCTCTTTGCAGTAATGACACTTGTAGGCTTGAATGTCAAGGACAAGAGGGCTTCAAAGAGCTAAACTCTCGAGACCTTTAGGAAAGTGTTTGTGAAAAAGGCACAAATGTTTTAAGACTGTAAGGACAGCCAAGACTGCACTGAGGAACATAAATAAACCTATTGTTCAGTTGAGTTTGCTAAGCAAAGGAAATGGCTTAGCTGGTGGAACAATCATGTGTATGTCCAAGATTTTAAAACATTGCAGAACAGCAAGATTTTGTCCCTCCCTGCTCGCCTTATTCAAAACATTTGCATTCCATTTTAAAAGTTCATATAAAAGGAAAACATTCAATTCAGCATGCTTTAATTCCCATAATGGGACATGGCTCTTACTGGCAAAGAGCACATCTGTTTAAGAAAATACAAACAATTAGGAAAGACGATGAAGAGAAAGAAAAGAAAGGATCTTCCACTTCCTCAAGAGAGATAAGAAGTGCAACGCCAGCAAGTGCCTCTCTGTTACTGCGGCCCAATGACCTGCTAATCAGCAGACAATATAAACAGATGTCTTCCACACATTTAGTGCTTTTCCCTTCATTAATCCATCTTTCAATCCCGCCGTCTTATCCGTATTGTGTATTAGCATAGTGCTAAGCTGGACCATGAGACTCTTATCCAGTGTTTGTGTGAGAAAAGAGGATAAGGCTCAGGAACAACGGCTAATGCTAATGCTTCATCTAATGCTCACAAAGAGGGCTATTTATCCTGTGCACTCTTTATGCTAAACATGCCAGGCCTTTATGCACTTATGCAGTGGGTGCGAGGAGTTTGTGTAAATTTAGTATTAGCGCCTTGACTCGTCAAAGCAGTAGAGAGGAGATTTGTGGGACTTTCTCAGAGGTTCTTGCTGTATCTACAATATCCGTACCTTCCCCCTCCTCTGGCACTTGTCATTTGGCGCTTTGCTCCTGACACCCACTCCCAGGGTGCCCCGCTGTGTGTTGCCGTGGTGACCAGGTGTGCAGAGGCTGCAGGTGGAGGCTCATTTAGGCGCATTAGGCCTTGACACGCGCCATAGGAAGAGTAATCATGCTTTACCTGCCTCTAGTACTAGTGCATACACAGCACAACGAGCTCGACTCCCTCTCCATCACATACTCACACACACAAAGGTGGGATCACACTTACACTATCGCACACCTGGGACACATTTACGAGCTGATGGATCTCCAAAGGGAAAGAGAAAGGCAGGGAAGCTCTGTCGCATGTGAGTGTGTGTATGTGTATGGGGGTCAAGGTTTTTCACACCTCAAAGCCTGTGGAATTGAGTGAATGGCGCCAGCGTGGGTTTTAAAGAGCTGAGGGGTGATGGGGCTCGGGAGGGTTAGTTAAAGGGTCCTGGCCTCTCATAATCCCCTCTGGTGAGGAGTGTACACCACATCTATGATCCACAAAGTACACTGAGCCCTTTATTCACTCATAGGACTATATCAAACATTTTTCTCAGTCTAGACAAAATGGGTTTCAAACATTTCATTAAAACAGGGGTCTACAAGAAAATTAAAATATTTCACGATATCTCTTATTCTGTTATTGTGAGGGGGGAAGCAATGGCATTCGCAAATTATGAAGCATTAGGTAGTTTAAAAGAATTTTAAAACAAGTTCACCTGTTCTATAGGCCAGTTTTAGCAATTATGTGCTACTACAACACAATTTTAATTTAATAAAAATCTAATTATTTGCCAGAGGCTTGTCTGTGAAATATCTCTCAAGAAAGAATTTCTTCCTGGTCAGTGAGATGGGGAGAGGGCCTCCCACTCCTTCCAGAATTCATTCAATCATCAACTTTCTCCACTTCACAATTCACTGCTACCCTGGTGATCCCCCATGCAGAGAGAATGGACCAACTAAGAGGCCCCTTTGACTTCTCATGCCGTTTTTGAACCCCTCTGTTTCAATGTCTGCCTTCTCCACCTGACCTCTGACCCCCACCACCCTTTCACCCCGCACCCTCCGCCCCAGCCTCCCCCTTACAGGCTCCAGCCACCCGGAACACCCCTCTTTCACTTTTGTTCTTTCTTGCATTGCTCCTTCAGTCTGTTACTCCCCCACATTATAACTCTCTATTTTCCCTTCATGTCACTATTTTTCTTGGTCTTCCTTAATTTTTGCCCCTTTTTATTTGTTCTATAAATCAGTTAGATGAGTGCTTAAAGACAGAATTTTCAACTTGTCCCCCCCCCATTATAACACTCTCTACCTATTTCTCTAGGTTTTTCTGTACAAAGAAAGTGGCAGATTTGCTGAGGTGGTCACGCTTTTGTTAGTCAATATGTTAGGGGTCAGATGGGTTAGTTTGTAGTCTACCTTTGTGCATTAAGATGGACAGACCAAAACTAGACCAACAATGCACAGGGCTGCTAATGAAAAGGTCTGAACAGTGATACAGTAAATGGTTTTGTGAGAGAGAATGAAGGTAAGGGCATTTCATTAAGTACTATAGATTAAAACTACGCCATCAAACACAATTCAAGGCCAATTTATCGAAACTAAACAAGCCATCACATTGAATCCTCATCCATAGGTGATGGTCAGGCAATGATGGTCCACAAAATTAACCTCTTAAAAGGCTTTGACTAGCCTCATCTGTCTCTCTCTCTCCCTTTATTTCTCTCCTTTACTCTATCCTGTCCATTCACATGTTCTCACTCTCTTGCTAAGAGTCTCTCATGATTATTAGAAAAATGATGGGGGAGTATGGTGGGCAAGACAAGAGAAAGAGAGAATATGGAAAAGAACAAGGCAGGGGGAGTTTGACTGCTTTCCTCTTTGTGGCGCTTTGATCATGCTGCTGATGAGTGAGACTGGAGTTGTGTGCTTACACTCTGCCCCTAATGAGGGAATTAGGGAGCAGAGAAGAACGTCCCCCATACTAACGTCCCCGCTGAAAAAAAATTAAAAGGCAAGCAAGAGTGAATGAGAAAGAAAGGGCAACTAGTCAACTGTCAGGCCCAATCAATCCGTTAGCAGCTTTGCCTTTCGCCTCAAAAATTTAGCGTGCTAGCTCTGCACTAAACATTTGTCCTTGAGTTTTATGCACCAACAATATCTACAGTCTATCAGGACGTGGTGTTAATGGTAACTGTCTTAGGCAAAACACATTACTGAACCAATATAACTTCTATATGGATAGGTTTACCCAAAAATGTAAGGCAAATGGCAGAAGACTTTTAGTGAGTAACAAATCAAATTTCAGTTTGTTCCTCATACACATTTCCTGTATGCAAATTTCTTGTCACTGTCTATTACACACACACACACACACTCATGACTGGTTTGCTATCCTTGTGGGGACTCTCCATAGGCGTAATGGTTTTTCTACTGTACAGACCGTATATTCTATTGCCCTACACCAACCCTACACCTAAACCTACCCCTTACAGGAAACTTTGTGCATTTTTAGATTTTCAAATAACTTCATTCTGTGTGATTTATTAGCTTGTTTACCCGTGGGGACCTCAATTTAGGTCCCCACCGTGACACGAGTCCCCATGAGTCTGTGTGTATTCAGGTTTAAGTCCCCACCAGAATAGAAAAACAGGTACACACACACACACACACACACACACACATACAGGACATTATCCTAAACATGTCTTTTTGTATTTCTCATTTTTTTTGAGTGGACTATCCCTCTAGGATTTAAGGATGGGCCTAACATATTTATAGGATAAGAAGACAAGAATGTATAGATAAATTGGAACCAAAAAATTAGTGAGTGGGTGTTTGTCCCAATATGGCCAAAGAATATGACAAAGTAGTAACTGACTATAGTGAGGGTCCAGGTATCCATTGCGAGGGTCCATGGTGAACAGTGTCCCCCGATAGGGCAGGGTGTGGTCTGCCAGGTGGGGCAGAGAGCTGTGAAGCTCTTTCTTCACTAATGGGGGGCGGTCTTCTGTAGAGGTGGATGGCTCTTCACTAAGTTTTCCTGATACGGCCAGAACCGCAGCCTGCCCACTGATGGCATTACGCCTCTCACGATGATATGGGGAACCTGAACTGTCATCCTCTAAACGAGAGAGAAATAAAAAGAAAGAATATTAGTTCATTTTTATTACTTTTATTTTACTGATGTGTAGAGAGAGTACTATATATATATATATATATATATACATATACATATA